CGGTGTTAGAAACTGGAAAGCGGCACCGGTACGTCAGCGGGGGCTTCACAAACAGGCACGGTGTTAGAAACTGGAAAGCGGCACCGGTACGTGACCGGGGGCTTCACAAACAGGCACGGTGTTAGAAACTGGAAAGCGGCACCGGTACGTGACCGGGGGCTTCACAAACACGCATGCAGTCAGGCTCATTTACACCCCCCTCCGTGTGGACAGAATTCCGCAGAGGACAGGTGGCAGGAGATACCGTCACACCTCTACTTGGTCCTCAGCAAATTCAAAAACATCGATATTACATTAAAAACATCGGTGACGTTGCGTGATTCTTACTTAGCCGGCGATGATCTTCCTTTACGTGGAGATCCAGAGACACCAAAGAGGCCCAGTGAGCAGGGAGGTGGAGGACGTTGTCGCTGCTGGACTGTTTGTTAAACTGCCTGAGTAGAGCTTAGAGAGGGATCGATACCGGGTATCTCCCATAATGCAAAGTGCACTTCAAACATAATAAGTTCAAGTTACTTTATTGGTACCTGAAGGTAAATTTTGTTTGCAGTACAGAGTCTGCACACAAACCCAAGTAGGAGAAACAAAAAACACACATATCACACATCAGTCATTGTACCACAATATGGGGTCCATCCCTAAAAATAAACAGTAAAAACACTACTATCAGTAACAAAAAGTAATAAATAATAATATAAATAGCCATAACTTATTCCTCAGTGTAATGGCTGCCAGAATAATACTGTTTCTGTTTGTGTATTTTTTCACCATTTATTTTCATTGGCTGTTAAAGGAAAGGCTGTATGCCACTTTGTACTTTCAGAAAAAAAAAATACAGATTTGAGTTGAAGACTGTGTTGTGATGTTTAAAATGATTTTACATGCTAACATCCACCTGTTACTTTAAGTAGTAACAGTAGTAATTAAAGTAGTGGTCATGGTGTTGATAGTAACTCAGATTATTACTCAAATTTGTCTTTAAATATTAAGAAAATCTAAATGTGTCACACACCGTTCGTGCCGACCCTCCTGTGTGCCACGTCCCCTCGTTAACCTCGTGTGGAATCCCCGTGTGATCAGCTGATTTGAATTGTTTTCCTGATTCCTGTGTATTTCAGTCTGCGTTAGAGTATGTTTCCCTAGTCCTATCATTAACGTCAGTTTCACATTGCTGCCAGTCCTCTCCCCAAATTCAGTGTTGTTTCTTCCTGTGGCTGCCCGATCTGCGAACGCATGCGTACACTGGTTTTCTGTGTACGTCACTATTTGATTTGTATACTGACTGCCTGGCCAATAGGCGAGCGCATGCGCAGTACACAGACGTCCGCGAACCCTGCGCAATGTACCGACTTCCGTAAACGCCTGCCTGATTATGTTTTGACATTACAAAACGTTACATATTTGACAGATCATCATACAGTAACTGGTAATCATTGCTTTACTCACAACTAAGACAAGCTTAGACAATAATGCATTTGTAGAAAAATGGAATGCAGTGAAATGTCTTATTCTAAGCGAGTGTATGCTAGAATTTCTGCTCAGAAAATGTTCAGATGGCCGCATACTTTGAATGCCACTAACAGTTATAGTTGTTGGAATATACATAAATGAATCAGATAAATATTCACCTAAAATAAGTTCAACTGCAATATTCCCAGTAAACAGACTGAAAAGTGGATGTCGATCCTTTTGTGGACTGTGTCTTCAATATTTAAATACTGTCCATAGTGTTTTGTATGCTGTGTATATTTAACTAACAATACATTTCCCATATATTTGGTCTTACACCGAGTGTCCATGCTTAAAAGACTCACTCTGTCAGGACTGCTTCTTAGAATCTTGGTTCCTCTCACGTTTTCTTTGCTGTATTTAAGCTGCGGGGAACAGTGGCCCTCTCTAAATGTGCTTATTATGTTTTGAGAAGTTATCAAGATCTTCATAATGTAAGCAAAACAAAATTATCACTGTCAACCTGAAATGGTGCATTATATATAGCTCGAGCAGATGTATATAAGGAATGAAACAATAAGAGAAGAAATACTGGAAATGCAAATCTAAGCAATGCAAGAACAATAAAATATTAGGTCAGTGTGCAGATAACATTAGCAGTGGTAAGTTCAAGATCAATTTATCTTCAGGTTGTGTGCAACTCATTTACTGTGCAAAGTGAAGAATAAGTGAAGAGCAAAAACACTATGAGGGTAGTCAGTACAGTATTTGCTTTATATATAAATTATGCGTAGGGTAAAGTAAAAATTCTCTTTTGAGAAAAGAAAAAAAAATACTTAGAACAGTGAAAAACAATAATAAAAATGTACAGTCCTACAGCAGACCGTCCTTTTTCATTTGACAGGTTGTATTTCAATAAAAGAACTAATAGGTCATTAAAAGCAAATATAGTACAAGATACATTTATATGGGAACCTTTCAGATCTGTAGGGCAAGTCATGAATGAGAAAAACATGAGGAAATATGTTACTGGACAAAATAAGGCATTTGTTATGTGTCGGTATTTCCACTGGAGTTGTTTCTGCCTGTAGCTATCAATTGCTGGGACTGGCTCAACTGGATAAGTACAAAAAAACTAACCGAGCCATAAACATTGTCCACCGGACAATATAAAATCTAAAAAGTCCATTATCTCACCTCAGGGAACAGCACATCAAGGACAAACTGCACATGGTCCCTGATGAAGAATGCTGTTGGCGTTGCTTTCAGCAAAGCCCCCAGGTGAATGTACAGGCAGTCTTGTGCTTCATCAGAGTCCCGAACGTGGAACTTCTTTGGAACCTGTTCAGCCACTTTGACGGTGTGCTGCGGCTGAGAATCTTCTGTTTAGAATTGAGAAAAAAACTTAATAATTATGCCTAGCAAGTGTTAGGTACTAATACATAAATATACATAGCCGAGAATAGGGCAGCATGCCAACAAATGTTGTTTGTTTGTCTCACTGTTTGCAATGAAGTTCACCAGCTGCTTCTCTTCTGCAGTACGACAAACAACTGCTTGCGTGTGTGGTGGGACTTTGGTAGAGATTGTCCTTGACAACCTATAAAGAGGCTGAACGGTGCCATGGAGTAATTTCACAGCTTCTTCACTCCAGTAAGCAAATCTCTGGCCATGTCTTTAAAATAATAGAAACATATGAATTTGATTTAGTGCTACACAGATAATTACATAAAAATAAAAATCGCAATATGGACCCATGCAGTTATCTAATAAAAAAATATGTAATTTATTATTATTATTCCTACATATTTTTCCAGCACCATTTTGTGCTGCTAATTGCCATATACATTATGCCTGGAGCATACTGAATATTTTTTTTTATGTATAACTTTTGAGTTGCTATTGGTAAGTATTGGTGAATATCATTGTAACGTGAGCCTGGATTAATACGTTTTAACATCATATTCTATATTAATATGTTTTAACGCTACATTCAATTACATTAACATTTACATTGGTAGAAAATTGCACATAAACCTTTATCATGAGGAAATACCATAAGCATGAGAACTCCACAGTGGTTTCCTGTTGTTTGTCAAGGGAAGTCCTGGAAAAATTTAATTTTATAATTTTAAATGACAATAATACAGATGAATGAGTTACCATTCACTTGGAATTCACAACGAAGGCATTTACTTCTTCAACAGTCTTCTCTTTCCAAGTATCTGGGGTAATATGCTTTGCAATTATTCTGAAAAATCAATGAAAAATCTGTTACATCTCTGCTAAGACACTTTCATACCATATGGGAAACAAGTAGCCGCGGAACGAGGCTGATATGGAAAACAAGCCATAGAACAAGTGCGAACTACATTAGTTCTACTACATTAATAAATGATCTCCCTCTCTTTTAGCAATAAAGCCTGAAAGAGACACATTTCAAAATGATCTCACAGCGTACATACTCATGTCAGATATAAATTATGTAATATTTATTACCAATAATTTTATTATGATGCTCAACACATAGCATAGAGTGATCTGGTTGATCCTCTTGCCTACTCCATGCTGGAAACAATACTGCATCCATTGATTCTAGGTTGTCCTAATATCAGGAATACATTTGTATCAATATATGTATGCGAATACCTATAGTATATGTACACACTCACACACAAAAAAAAAACACTTACTGGCAAACCAATCAGTGGGTCCGCATCCCTGGTTTTCCATGTCGGCACAACATACATGTCCACAATGTGAACATTACTTCCCTATACAAAACATTCAAATATTCAGCTAGCGTAAAAATTATCTTTATAAATTTAAATGACCGAAATAGTAATTAAATTACATGTCTCTGTGCAGCTTCCTTGACCAGGTGTAAGCAGGCATTTCCTATCTACAGACAGACACGCAACTAGTTACCAAACAGTAACCGCAATATGAAATGGAAAAACCAAAAAGAGGTACAGAAGAGCAGGGGAAGAACACAGTACTCACATTTGAGTCCATACATCGATTTAAGCCCAGACTCCAGTAATCCTCCCGTGTAAGGCAGATGCATCCAGATTTAGCTATTAATTCAGCCCCAGGTCGACTTGTGTCTAGGACATACTCAAGCTGAAGACACAATTAATTACATTGACATTTAACAAACCAATTGAACGACCAAAAAACAAAAACATTCAGTGATATCACAGATGGGCCACTTACCAGTTCATGCTGAAGAGGACCTAAATCCTTCTCCCATTTCTCTCCAGAAACTGCCTGCAATAAATGTTACAGGGCACCCCTTAATAGAATTTAGGACTGGAATATACATAGCACTGTCTTGATTGGGTCGTTGATTTGACAGTAATGACAGCATCTCATCTTGAGTAAGAAATATAGGACATTTTCATTAGTACCACATATGAACCTAACAAGACATAAATCACTTGGAGGAAAAAAAAACAATGAGATCACAAGTACAGTGGTACCTCAGAACTCGAATTTAATCCGTTCAGAACTCTGGATCGAATCCTAAAAAGTTCGAGTTGTGATCGATTTTCCCCATAAGAAATAACAGAAAACCAATTAATTGGTTCCCGGCTCCAAAAAATTACACCTAAATATGTTTTTTTTTTTTTCTTTTTTTAGCATTTAAACAAAAAATGAACAGGATAAAACAAGAAGAGCATATCCTCCTGAGATCCAAGGAAAAAAAGTGTCCTTCAATTGTAGGAGGAAATAAGACATCTTACAATTTAGATTTTTTCAAATTTATTTTTATTTTTAATTTCACAACATGTCCTCTTTAGTGCACAACAGGAAAAAATACGTTTCCTAACACTATTGAAAAAATAAATGCAAAAATACAATGTCCACTACAATGGACATAAATCAATGGGTCGGGTCTCAGGAGGTTACACTGTACTAAACACATCTAAGGACATTTATCAAAACAGTAATTTATAAAGTAAGAAAATAAATGTATCCAAACAATATGTAAAGTTAAAAAAAAACAATGTGTCCTGCCCCAATCGTCCGCTCCTTCTGTGTGCCACGCCCCCTTGTTAACCCCGTGTGATCAGCTGTTTCTGGTTGTTGTCATTAGTCCTCTGCATTTCGTCCACATTTCAGTTTGTTTCCTCCGTCTGCGTTTTGCCTGCCTTACCTGTAATTAAACCCCGTATTCCCCGATACCCTGACGTCTGCGCCTTTCCCTTTACCTTTCCCCGCTCGGCATGACAATATTATTATAATTAAATGTATTAATGGTTTATTATTAATATTAAAATAACAAGAAATCTTTATTTTTAAATGTATTTTATTATATAATAATAATTAAGTCATCAGTGTTAGACACCATGGTGGAAGACGGGGAACTGAAGGTGGCAAACATGTAAAAACAATTGCAAATGTGCTGCTTTTAACTGGCAGACAAAACACAGTACAGAGAGTTCACTGGGAGCTGCTGACTCTCACAAGGGCAGTTTTTACTGTCTTAGGAGAAATTTCCAAACATGACCCTTCAGTGGACAAAAAGTTAAACACAAGTGGAAATGCAAAGTGCACAAGTTCTCCAATCCAGAGTGGAATACTAGAGTGATCAGCTGATACGGTCTGCAGGGAAATAAGAGGTCAAGGGAGGGGAGCTGTTTAGTCTGATTTCTGATCAAACCAAATATCTAAAGAAAGAGGATCAGCTGTGTTTAGTCTTAAGATCCTTCTCCAATGGTGCATCCCATGAAAGCTTGTTACACTTTCAGTCAGCAGAAAGCTGATATGCAGCAGGCCTAACAAACAGGACGAGTGATACAAACATGGCCTGTAATACAGGGATACCCTGGGGGTCAAAGGTTACCATGGAGCTCCATGAGTAGAAAGCGCTCAAGTGAGTCTGTGCGGATTAAGGAGGCCGTGCCATTCACATTCTCTGTGCATTGCAGTGCGCAGTGCTTGGATTTGGTTCTTGTTGATGCAGTGAGATCAGTGTCTGGGGCAGATAAGTTCTTTTCTCCGCTACAGATGATGTATGACTTTGTATCTAGTTCCTTTGTCCATCTGAAGTGGCTTGCAGTTCAGAAAGAAATGCATCCACTACATCAGCCCAGAGGATTTCAATGGCTTATTTTTACACGGTTGGCATGCAGATACATGGGGTGCCGCACTCTGCCAGACAGACATCCTACAGCTGATAGAGGATTACAGGATATCAGTACTGAAATTGCAGTGATAGATCAGAGGAAGCGAAGGGGGATTCATGTTCAGATAGGTATTACCTTCTCTCAACAAGGATGAATTTGCTCAACGTTTTGCAAGCAGTAATCGGAACTGACATCTAGCTAATGCCATCATGTTAAAACCATGCAGTGCAAGCCGAGAACTTAATATGTTAATTTATTCTTTATTCTCTTGTTTGCTGTAAATGATAATGTAGACATTTGTAAAAGATGGTTCACCTTGCACTGTATTGTCATAAATGTAAAGAAATATAATTTTGTGTACGAGAAACAATGTCTGTACATTTTGTTTGCAAATTACCGTACTTGTGGTACAAAATTGCATTTATATTTAAACAGGGCCTTGAAGTCTCACGCATTGACATACCTGTCAGGTTTTGGATTTGAAAATAAGGGAAATTTTCCGGCACCCACCATGAGCCGCCCCACCACCCCAACCAAGCTCCAGTATC